TGGGAAGGCACCAAAAGAAAGCTCCAGCCGATCCAGGAGAGAAGGACAACTACTGCCTAAACGAAAACGCTGGTTTGAACGCGGAGTCAAGGAGGCCATTTACGTGAAAAGGGAAAGACCACCTCTTAATCGAGGAGGGGGCCTAAGGGTACATCTTTCGTCATCGTACAATGCTGTGATTGCAGCCATTCCCCAACTGGCCTCCCAGCATATTGTTCCTTCAGTGGGCTGGTTTCAGTCATTATGCAAATGTACTGTTTATAAGACTGGGGAAACCTGCAGTCAGCTGAGACTGAAGAAGTCACTTGGATGAGTGATGAAATGTTTCTCCCACTGAAAATGCTACGTCCAGATGAAAGGAATCTTTACTTACCTGGATGAGCATGCATCAAGACGTTTCTGGGTTTTTTTTTTTAAAATGCTATATAAATTGGATTTGGATTCTGTCATATGGCAAATTAAACCAATTTTCAGTAACAATTTAGATTTGTTTGTTTGTTTGCTTGTTGGTTTTCCAATTTCAGTATCTCAGGTCTTAAGATTATTTTGTGGGGTTTTTGGGTTTTTTTGTTCAGGGTACCATGATACTGGCTTCCCTGGACTCAGTCCTACACGATGAGTCAATGTGGGAAACTCCACACTCTTTCAATCCTCAACACTTTCTGGACAAGGATGGTAAATTTCATAAGAGAGATGCTTTCCTTCCATTTTCTACAGGTTTGTTGCACTCTTTTAGCCAAATGGCATGCATCCTTAGTTTGTTGCAGAAGTGTAGTAAAAAAAATTGTTTGAATAAAACTCATAACTTACTGTTTATTCTCAGGTAAGCGTGTGTGTCTTGGAGAACAGCTGGCCAGGATGGAGTTATTCCTGTTGTTTACTTCCCTCCTCCAAAGGTTTTCTCTTTCGCCACCTGCTGGAGAGCAGCCCAGTCTGGATTTCCAGTTGGGAGGCATGCGCTGTCCCAAACCTTACCGCCTCTGTGCTGTACCACGTTAAACCATCAACTATGGCAAACTGAAAATAAATCACTCCTTTATTACATTTATCATCTAATGCTGTTTAGTTTTTGTTCTTGTAGTCCAGTAGATCTTTTTCATTAACTTTTACAATATAAATCTATTCTACTCTAACAGAAATTACTAAAAATGTTAAACCACCAAAAAAAAAATTAGTTTATCCTTTTTTTTTTCTGACATTAAGGCAAGTGAAAGGATTGAGTCTCTGTTCTGGTTAACGATTTCAGAGATACCTGCCTGGTTCATTGCTTTTACAAGTAAAGTGGATTCTGTCCCTTTTAAGGACAATCAAAGTAATCTGTTAGAAAACTTTCCA